GCAGGACTAGCACATTGCCACTGGAGTTACAGCCAGGAGGCAACGTTATTGGAACAGAGGAGGATAGTAGTAGAAGTTGATGTTAAGGGTAGAGGCACAGATCATGGAGGGCAGTGATCCTTTGTGTGGGGTCCCCAGAGTAGCAGGATCAGCATTACCTGAGAACTGGCCTAGCCTTACTGAATCCGAAACTCTGGAGGCAGGGCCCAGGTGATTAACAGCCCTTCAGGTGATTGTGGTGCACACAGAAGTTTGAGAAACCTAGGTGTAGGGCCCTGTAGGCCATTGTAAAGACTCTGTTATGGGAGCCACAGAGGGGTTTTGAGCAATGGAGAGTTGCTATCTGAATTAGATTTTGGCTGTTGTGAGGATGAACTCAAGATGAAGAGCAAGGGTGGAAGCTGAAGAATCTGGGGGCTACTGTAGATTATTATTCCTTAAAGTGTAGTCTGGACCAGAAGCATCAACATCCCCTGGGAGCTCACTTGAAACACATGTTTATAAGCCCCACCTCAGACCTAATGAATCAGGATCTCTGAGGATAAGGCCTAGGAATCTTTGTTGTTTTTTAATAAAGATTTATTTATTTATTTATTGAAAGGCAGAGTGCCAGAGAGAGAGGGAGAGACGGAGAAAGAAAGAGGTCTTCCCAAATGGCCGCAATGGCTGCGGCTGGGCCAGTGCAAAGCCCGGAGCCTGGAACACCATTTGGGACTCTCACATGGGTGACAGGGACCCAAGTGCTGGGCCCTTAGCCACTGCTTTTCTAGGTGCATTAGCAGGGAGCTAGATAAGAACCAGAACAGTTGGGATTCCAACCAGCATTTTGATTTTGGATATCGATGTTGTGGGCTGTGTCTTAACCCACTGGACCAGGAGTCTGTTTTGACAAACCCTCTAGGTGATTCTGTCCCTAAAACTTGAGAACCATTGATCTGGTTACATATTGGTGACTTGTACCAGAGTCAGTGGTGATGAGAGTAGTTGGATTTTGAATATATATTGATACAGGAATTGCTGATAGATTGGATTTTGTGGAGTTTTAATGTAAAGGGGAACAGAGTAATGGATCAGTGAGAGAGTAAAGGAGAGGTTTTTAATTTCATATTTTTGGAGACAGAGGTAACCTGTTTTGTGTGCGTGCCAGCACATATGCAGTTATTCTGTTGGTGCATACAGAATTTAATGAAGCCTGTTATATGGCAGACTCACATGCTGGGGACTAGGTAGACAAAGAAAAGATTTCCCAGGTCACTGGAACTTGCTCTGTGTCCTTTGCAGTCCTCCAAGTCCTTTGTGTCTGGAGGACTGGGAGCCATTGGTGGGAAAGGTAGATGCCTCAGCTTCTGGCTTTTTAATTTAAATTAATCAACATTTTTGAATTTGAGACGCAGAGAAGTTCTATCTACTGTTGACTCCCCAAATGCCTGGGAGACAGGAATTTTTAACCTCTGTACTTTAGTGTCTCAGAATACTGCACAGAATGCCCTGATTTGTTGTGGAGATTAAATACCATAATTTATAAGAAGTTTATAGCTCAGTTTTCTTCTCAGTTCCTTTGCTGCTAGCTTCACATTTACTCTGCCACTCACCATCCTATTACCTTGCCTTATTTATTTTTTAGCACTTTTGATATTTCTGGCTCCACTTGTCTGTATCTCTAGAATGTCTACTCCATGAAGACAGTGTCTGTGTTTAATCAATATTGGTTGAATTTATGCACTCATTTACTTAACAAATATTTGAGTGTCTGTGCTAGGTTTTGCAGTACATCTTGGGGATAATTCTTAATCTTGAGACCTGGTGCTGTCATAATTGTCTTCTTCCCTGAGGAAGCCACCCAGAGCAAAACAGCACTAATTACTCTTGGTTCCTGGTGATAATTATTGAGAAAGTGCAGCAATAGCCTGATTTTCATCTCTCTGTGCCCCTGAGCTGAGGAGTTATCTAGCCCAATGTATGTTTGTTGAATTGAATTGAAAAATAAATAAAGCAAGACTGGAAGATGGGGAAGATAAGGACTTTTAGTGAGCAAGATATGTTGTCTACCTAATGTAGTGAGGGCAGACAGCAAGTAAGGGAGTAGTTGCCAGTCAGCTTGGTGAGAGCTGAAATAGGGACTAGTGTGTGGGGCTGACCAAGGCAGCAAGAAAGAGGATTGTTCATGGCAGAGAGCGCCATGTGCAGTCAAGTCCAGAGGCTAGAAAGAACATGGCACTGAGAGTGCAGCTGGTTTTTTTTTAGAACAGAGCTGGCTTCAGGGGTGTGTGACCACTGTAGTCACTTGGGGACCCATGCTTGAGGGTTAATACTCTGCAGTTGTCATCTTGAAATCCTAATAATTTTACTTTCGAAGTTATGTTTTGTATGTAATAGGACCATGGAGCCTGTGCTGGGCACTTAAGACTCCTGTCTCATGTGTGGTCCTACCTCCTGCTGCCTCCCCAAACAGGTTTTTGGCTAGCTACTTGGGGCACCAGGCTCAGATGCAGATATAGATTCAAGTCATGTACATATACCTTGTACACTGCGTCAAGGGGTGGGGTCCCAGGGAACATGTGAGGGACTGCACTTGCCCTTTGAATAGCCCTATATCCCAGGGAGCAGGACAGTAAATAGCAGATAGAAGCCCCATCCATGGTAAATTGAGAAACCATGGAAGAAAGAGCAAAAAAATCTTTTTTTTCTGTTTTTTTTTTTTTTTTTTTGAAAAGGGAATCCCACTTTTTATTTTTACTAGACTCCACAAACTATAGCTGACACTGTATGTGAGGGGCAAAAGATGAGGCCAGAGAAGCAAGGCCTTTTAGGCCATTGTAAGTATATTGTTTACCATAAGAAAAATGATTACCCATAATCCTTCTTTCAGAACCACTGTTAAATATAAAATCTTCTTTTTAGAGTATTTTCATTTAATAAAGTATCTCAAAGTTTAAAATTTGGATTCTATGTCAAAATATGGTTGAATTATTTGGTTATACAGATTGAATATCACATATTCACAGTATTCAGGACCAAGGCAGGCATTTAGTACAGTGGTTAAAACACCACTTGGGGCACCCACATCCCATATTGCAGTGTCTGTGCTTAAATCCTGCTATTGCACACCCTGAGAGCCTTTGCCTGACCCTGGCTGTTGTGGATATTTGGGGAGTAAATGAGCAGATGGAAGACTATCTCTTCTCTCTTTGTCTGTCTGTCTGTCTAGAGAACTCGTCCATCTGCTGATTCACTCCCCAGATGGCCAAAACTGCCAGGGCTAGACCAAGCTTAAGCCAGTAGCCAGGAGCTTCTTCCAGGTCTCCCACATGGGTAGCAGGGGCCCAAGGACTTGGACCATCTTTTCGCTGCTTTCCCAGGCACATTAGCTGCAGGTGGATCAGAGGTGGAGCAGCTGGGACGTGAACCAGTTACCCATATGGAATGCTGGTGTCTCAGGTGGTAGTTTAACACACTGCAAGCCCTAGATTTTTTTTAATTAAATGTTTAGAACCAGAACTTTTTTAGATTTCAGGGATTTCAGAATATCTATTTATAATGAGATATCTTAGGATTGGACATAGGTCTAAACATGAACTTCATTTATGTTTCACATATACATTATACATATAGCCTGGAAGCACTTACTACAATTTTTCTTTTTTTTTTTTTAATTTATTTTTTTTGACAGGCAGAGTGGACAGTGAGAGAGAGAGACAGAGAGAAAGGTCTTCCTTTGCCATTGGTTCACCCTCCAATGGCCGCCGCGGCCAGGGCGCTGTGGCTGGCGCACCGCGCTGATCTGATGGCAGGAGCCAGGTACTTATCCTGGTCTCCCATGGGGTGCAGGGCCCAAGCACTTGTGCCATCCCCCACCGCACTGCCTGGCCACAGCAGAGAACTGGCCTGGAAGAGGGGCAACCGGGACAGAATCCGGCGCCCTGACCGGGACTAGAACCCGGTGTGCTGGCGCCGCAAGGCAGAGGATTAGCCTAGTGAGCCGTGGTGCCGGCCAGTTACTACAATTTTTAAAGTGTGTCTGTTTTCACTGCAACCAGTCACATGCAGATGCATGTTTTTTTCAGTTTGTGGCATCATGTTGGTGCTCAAGTGTCAGATTCTTTTTTTGAAGATTTTATTTATTTGAGAGAGAGTTACAGAGAGAGGGAGAGACAGCGAGAAAGGTCTTCCATCCACTAGTTCACTCCCCAAATGGCTGCAATGGCCATAGCTGGGTCAATCCAAATCCAGGAGCCAGGAGCTTCTTCTAGGTCTCCTAAAGTGGGTGCAGGGGCTCAAGAACTTGGGCCGCCTTCTACTGCTTTCCCAGGCCATAGCAGAGAGCTGGATCAGAAGAGGAGCAGCCAGGACCTGAACCAATATCCACATGGGATGCCAGTGTCATAGGCAGAGTCCCCACTACCCCACAGCACCGGCCTCAGTTGTCAGATTTTGAAGCATTGTGGAGTAAGTGTGCCCAATGTGTTTTGGGTTAAATAAGATATTAATTTCATCTGTTTCTTTTTATGTTTTAAATGTGGATGTTAAAATATTTAAATTACATATTTGGGTGATGGGCATTTTATCTAGTAGTTAAAACTCCACTTCTCACATTGGAGCCCTGGGTTCAAAACTCCATCCCTGGCTCTTGATTCCAGCTTCCTGGTAATGCAGATTCTGTAAGCCAGAGATGATGGCTCAAGTAATTAGGTCCCTCCCACCTACTTGGGAAACCTGGATGGAGTTTTAGGTCTCTGGTTTCAGCCTGCCCTAGCTTCAGCTATTGTGGGCATTTGGGGAACAAACCAGTGGATGGAAGGTATTTTCTCCCTCTCCCTCCCTCCCTCTCTCTCTCCAGTGGATGGAAGATATTTTCCCTCCCTCCCGCCCTCCCTCCCTCTCTCTCCCTCCCTCTCTCTCTCTCCCTCTCTCTCTCTGCCTTTCAAATATATAAAAATATTTACATAAGAATTTTTTTCAATAAAATTTCTATAAACCTTGCCTGTTTTTCTCTTTTCCAGTTGTGTTGGTGTTGAAGAAGAGAAGGCTGCTGACATTGACCTCTACCACTGCCCAAACTGTGAGGTCTTACATGGACCTTCCATTAGTGAGTAGATCTTAGGGGTTTCCAACAGAAGGCTGTTCAGAGGAGAGACAAAGTGAAGTTTAAGAGGGCAGTTGCTTTTGGCTGCACACTGCAGATTTCCCTTAGGAAATAGTGAAGTTTATTAATTTATTTGAAATGTAGAGTGGGTTTGCCTGGAGGAGTTACCCATCTTCACTAGGAGCTTTACTGATTCCTTGAAGGCCTCCTTGATTCCAGATGTTCTAAGGGGGTGTTAGATTAGAAGAGAAAAAGGATCTACTTATGTCTTCGTTCTTGCTCAACTCATAGTCATCCTGTCTCATAATCTCTTGTCTTTTTCTCGCTTAGTGAAAAAACGTCGTGCATCTACCAAAGGGCATGATACACATAAGGGGAAGCCAGTGAAGACTGGAAGCCCTACATTCATTCGAGAGCTCCGGAGTAGGACTTTTGACAGGTGAGGACCTATGCTTCAGGGCTGGTGAGTGCCAGGACTTTGGGAGGCTGAGACTCCTCTCTTCCCAACTTTCCCATTGGTCATCCCATTAGATGCTCCTCAATTTGTGGGTGTCTATGTATTGGTCAGTTTCTGAGAAATAGTAGCCAGAGTAAATATGATATACAGAGTATATTAAGGTCCACTTATAAAAACTTTTGGTAGTTGGGAGTCAGAATTCACATAAATCAAGCGAGGATATTTACATGCACCCAAGGAATGCTACAACTAGAAGTCTTAAAGAGCATAAAGATTAATTCTCTTATTGTGGAGAAGAGGAAACACTTCTAAAAATAAAAATTTTTAGTGGTCATATTTCTTTTTGCAAACAGAATATTTTTTATTAACCTTCACTTATTAAAAATAAATTACTTGAGTAAAAATAATGAGGTAAAAATCAATAAAGCATTTTTACTTTGTTTTTAATTCTCTAGACCATTTTCAGGTCTTTTCTTGAACTTAATGTTTTTTGTTTTGTTTATTTAAAGGTAGTGAGTCTCCTCTCTATCCCAGATCCCAAAATTGACCAATTTCTTGTGTATTCTCTCAAAAATAGTTTTTGCATAAACAAATATATATGTTTATTCCTCTTTTTCTCATTTTTTGACACTAGTGGAAACACTATATTCTGCATCTTCTTGTCTAATCTAAATTATATAACTTGGAGATTAATCCAGAACAGCATATATACGTATTTCTCATTTTTCCCCATTGTCATCTAATATTAAATTGTATGGATATACACTTTATTTAATCTATTGATGAATATTTGATTCCAGTATTTTGCTGTTTAAAAAATCCTGCAGTGAATATCAAGTACTTAAGTTTTTCCATATATGGTGAGTATATGTAGATTTCCTGTCTAAAAGCAAAATTGTTAGATCAAAAAGTAAGAGCTTTAAAAATATAAATATTGCCAATTGTTTCCAAAATGACTTGACCATTTCATACTCCCATAGACAGTGTGTTGGGGTGCTGATTTTCTTACGTCCTGGCCACCACTGTTTTATTTTTTTTGCCCTTTTAATAAGATAAAGAATGAAATCTAGTTTCTACTTAAATTTCTTTGATTATGAAAGAGGTTGATTTTTGTACATTATAAGCAATCTGTCTTTTTCTGTTTTTCTATTAACTGCCTACTTTTGTCGACATCTTATTGATATTTAATGGCTTTCCTTGCAGAAAATCTTATTTTTATATAGTTAAACTTGTTACTATTTTTAGTGAGTACTGGACCTTGTATTTTCTGTGTTTTTTTCTACTGTTCTTATGGCTTTATCTTTTGTAATTTAATCTTTGTGCCATCTAGCATTATATAGAGAATAAGATAGATACTGAGCTAAATATGTTTGACCAAATACAACTTGTCAAATAGTATGCCATTTTATCCAGCATGATTTTTTTAAAAAAGAATCTCAGTTTTTCTTTTTCTTTTTTTAAAAAGAGATTTATTTATTTATTATAAAGCCAGAATTACAGTGAGAGAGAAAGATATCTTCCATCTGCTGGTTCACTTCCCAAAGGGCGGCAACAGCTAGAGCTGGGCCAGGCCCAAGCCATGAACCTGAAACACCATCTGGGACTCCTAATTGGGTAGCAGGAGCCCCAGTACTTGGGCTATTTTCCATTGCTGTCCCAGGAGCATTAGTAGGAAGCTGGATCAGAAGTGGAGTAGCCTGGACCTAAGCCAACACTCACATGGGATGCTGGTGCCACAGGTGGCTGCTTGACCATGCACTGATCTGGCAACATGATTTTTAAAAAATTCCATATTTTCTAGTTAAGTATAAAATTTGTTTTTTTTTTTTTTTCTTTTAAGTTATTTCCTATTTTTTTTTTTGTGCAATGTTTTAAATTGGATGCTATTGCTCTGGTTTAGAACAAATTAGCTAGATTTACCATATATGCTTTTTCTCCCTGGGTAGGCTATTGATTGATTTCTTCCTTTGTCAACCACAGAAGAACACCCTGTTGAATGGATTTTGCCCACCTTTTCTGGTCACCTGGCCTCTTGGACAGGTCATTATTCCCTGGCACATAAAGTTTATGCTATTAATTTCTAACTCACATTAGCTTCTCTCAGGAAGCCTCCATCCATTGAATGAGTGTGGTGAGTGTAGTAGCCCTTTGATAGGCAGGGCTCAGGCTTAGGCTTTCTCTCCTGTGGCCCACAGCTCAGATGAAGTGATCCTGAAGCCCACTGGAAGTCAGCTGACTGTGGAATTCCTGGAAGAGAATAGCTTCAGTGTGCCCATCCTGGTCTTGAAGAAGGATGGGTTGGGGATGACTCTGCCCTCTCCATCATTCACTGTGAGGGATGTGGAACACTATGTTGGTAAGAGGCCACAGACTCTCTCAGCAGTAACATTGTTCACTCCCTTCAAGACCCATGTCCCTTCCTCTTTAGTCTACTTTTTGCATTTCCTTTCTAGCCATCTTAGGAATCTGAGGTGATGTACCTTCCCTGAAGTCATTCTTTGGCAAAACTAGAGCCAAAATCTTACTCTTTTCTTCCTTTTCCTCTTAATAGACTACATAGCCCTATATGGAGCTGCATCTTTTTATCAGGGAAATTCTAGGGATCTTAGTCTCTCTGTCCTCTTGTCCTCTACTGAGATGATAATGCCTTTGACTTTTTTTTTAAAGATGTATTTATTTATTTGAAAGTCAGAATTACACAGAGAGAGATGGAGAGGCAGAGAAAGAGAAGTCTTCCATCCACTGGTTCACTCCCCAGTTGGCTACAATGGCCAGAACTGCACCAATCCAAAACCAGGAGCCAGGAGCTTCTTCTGGGTCTCCCATGAGGGTGCAGGAGCCCAGTGACTTGGGCCATCTTCTGCTGCTTTCCCAGGCCATAGCAAAGAGCTGATTGGAAGTGGAGCAGCCAGGACTCCAGCTGGTGCCCATATAGGATGCCAGCACTGCATGTGCCACAGCGCTAGCCCCAATGCCTTTGACTTTTACCCTTACATACCAGTTGAGTTTTGGGGGGAGAGGAGGAGAAAAATTGATTAACACGGCTGACCCTAGCAGGTGACTGTACTTTGTGTGAGGCTGTGAGTCAGGTAGTTCTGTAACTCTAGCAATACTGGACCTACCACAAAAGTATGATGGATTCTTGCTCCTGCTCCCCAAACCCACACAATACCTGTACATACAATGTCTGAGGAGAGAAGCCTTGAGCAAAAAGCCATTCTATGGACTGGTAAGGGACTGAGAGTTTTCTCAAGACCACCTGGAGCAGAACTTGTCTCTTTACTTCAGGTTCTGACAAAGAGATCGATGTGATTGATGTGACCCGCCAGGCTGACTGCAAGATGAAGCTTGGTGATTTTGTGAAGTACTATTACAGTGGGAAGAGGGAGAAAGTCCTCAATGTCATTAGTTTGGAATTCTCTGACACCAGGTAGGAGGGGCAGGGGTAACAAAAAAGCATGACGAATTGTCTAGAACTTATGATATACTGAGTATCTTTTCTGTGTTCTTCTCCCTTCCTCTTTGTGGTTTCTTCCTTTGAGATGGGGAGCCGAGTTACAGTTTCTAGGGTAGCAGCTTTCATTATAACAACCAAGTCATAATATTTCTTCTGTATAATTTCTAACATTGGATAAATTACACAGTAGCTATTTTAATTTATTTTTATCACCTTCAAGATCTAGGGCAGCTTTCTTTGACCTTTTTCTGTTATTTAGATTGTGGCATGGTCACTGTTTTGACTACCAGGATAAGTCCTTTGTCTAAATTTACTAAATTTACCAAGTAGGTTGTCTAAGGATAAGCATTTGGATTGAAAAAGAAAAGGAAAAGGCTGTATCATAACATTTAAATGATTCTGTCTAGACTTCCACACTCAATAGATAAATAGTCTTCTCAGTGCTCAGAACTGAGGGAAATACCAAGAAATCACATGTCTTTTTGCTCTTAGGAAGCTTGCTGTATGCTCATTTACATTTTTTGACTTTTAGTTTTGAAATAATTAGATATTCCCAGGAAGTTGGTCATGTGTCTTCTTCCAGTGTTCCACATAGTAACATCTTACATTATTATAGTACAATATTAAAACCCTTGCTTTTGTTTTTAAAATACTAGGCTAAACAACCTGAAGATGTTTAAAAACTGTTTCTTTATGCCTCACTTCTGAAAGATGATTTGAGGTAGCTTACAGAGAATGCAGTGAGGTAAAAAAAAGATAATTAGGACAAAAGAAATTTCAGGTATTGAAGTAGGATGCATCTGGTGGGTACTCTGCACATAAAATGTATATAATGAATGTTTTGATAATTGATAGAGATGTATTATAGAGTTTTCACTGAATTTCCTGAAGGTCAGAATAAAGGAGAATGCAACGTTTTTAAGATTTGTGGTTTTACATAGGATAAAAACAACCGGATGTTTCAGAAAAACACTTCTTTACCTGTAACTAAGCCCTGAGAGGTTTCCCTAATGGTTTCTCATAAAGAAGACACTATGAGGTGAGGACAGCACAATAACTTATAAATCAAGGGCCAAGTGAGTAGACTGGTATTGGAGGGTGAGTATGATGAGCATTTAGTAGAGAAAATGACCACCTTCCACTGGGGAAGGCTGTGCAGCTGGAACTTGGGACTTCTGGAGCTGAATGGAATGAGAATGCTGACCAGAATTACAGAAATAAGTATCCTATGTGCCTTTGGGGATTCTATGGAATGAACTTGTTTTCCGTCTTATTTGATCTGACTGAGATGCAGGGTATTTTATTCAGGCTCCAATCCCTGATCAGCTGACATCTACTTTCACTCTCTCTTACTTGCTAGGCTTTCTAACCTTGTGGAGACACCCAAGATTGTTCGAAAACTGTCATGGGTCGAGAACTTGTGGCCAGAGGACTGTGTCTTTGAGAGACCCAATGTGCAGAAGTATTGCCTCATGAGTGTGCGAGATAGTTATACAGACTTTCACATTGACTTTGGTGGCACCTCAGTCTGGTACCATGTGCTCAAGGTATGACTGGATATGGCTTCTAGAGGTAAACAGGCCTTGGGCCCCCTTCTTGTATCAGGTGTCAGCACAAAACAGGCTGCTATGGACCACATACTTACCACATTCTGTTTGGGTAACATTTCCATATAACTGCTTTGTCAGAATTTAGTATTTGGTAGATGTGCCATACACCCTGATGATTGTTTGTCTGTACAGTTTATCAAAATTGTTTTGAAAAGCATCAAATGTCTATGGTTTTTCCAACTGTTTCCTTCTTTAATTGAAGCGATTTATGCTCCTACCAACATGTGTGGTCCTTCAGACCACATATGTCCTTCAGAAATTCCTAGTAACATGAGAGTTCCTCCTCCCTCTCCCCTTCATAGAGTAATTATTTATTTATTTATTTTTAACAGAGTGGACAGTGAGAGAGAGAGAGAGAGAAAGGTCTTCCTTTTGCCGTTGGTTCACCCTCCAATGGCCGCTGCGGCCAGTGTGCTGCGGCCGGCGCACCGCGCCTATCCGAAGGCAGGAGCCAGGAGCCAGGTGCTTCTCCTGGTCTCCCATGGGGTGCAGGGCCCAAGCACTTGGGCCATCCTCCACTGTGCTCCCGGGCCACAGCAGAGAGCTGGCCTGGAAGAGGGGCAACCGGGACAGAATCCGGTGCCCCGACCGGGACTAGAACCTGGTGTGCTGGCGCTGCTAGGCAGAGGATTAGCCTATTGAGCCGCGGCGCCGGCCTAGAATAATAATTTTTTCTTTTTTTGACAGGCAGAGTGGACAGTGAGAGAGACAGAGAGAAAGGTCTTCCTTTTGCCGTTGGTTCACCCTCCAATGGCCGCCATGGCCGGCGCACCGCGCTGATCCGATGGCAGGAGCCAGGTACTTATCCTGGTCTGCCAGGTGCTTCCTCCTGGTCTCCCACATGGGTGCAGGTGCCCAAGCGCTTGGGCCATCCTCCACTGCCTTCCTGGCCACAGCAGAGAGCTGGACTGGAAGAGGAGCAGCCAGGACTAGAACCCGGTGCCCATATGGGATGCCAGCGGTGCAGGCAAAGGATTAGCCAAGTGAGCCACGGCGCTGGCTCCCTCAATTTTAATTTTTAAAAGCTATTTGAAAGAGAGAGATAGACTGACAGATTTTCCATCTGCTTTTTTTTTTTTTAAGGAAACTTTGTATGTTTGAAGGTGAAGGTTATAATTTTTTTATCAATTTCTTTTAAAGATTTTTTTATTTATTTACTTGAAAGTCAGAGTTATACAGAGAAGAAGCAGAGTGTGTGTGTGTGTGTGTGTGTGAGAGAGAGAGAGAAAGCGAGAAAGAGGGAGAGGTCTTCCATCTGATGGTTCACTCCCCAGTCGATCACAATGGCTGGAGCTGCGCTGATCCGAAGCAAGGAGCCAGGAGCTTCCTCCGGGTCTCCCCTGTGGGTGCAGAAGCCCAAGGACTTGGGCCATCTTGTACTGCTTTTCCAGGCCATAGCAGAGAGCTGGATCTGAAGTGCAACAGCCAGGTCTCAAACCGGCGCCCATATGGGATGCTGGCATGCAGACAGCGGCTTTATCTGCTATGCCACAGCACCGGTCCCTGCTCCACTTCTTATCTAGCTCTCTGCCAATGGCCTGGGAGAAGTAGCAAGATGACCCAAGTGCTTGAGCATCTACCAACCATGTGGAAGACCTGGAAGAAGCTCTTGGCTCCTGGCTTCAGCCAGACCCAGCCCTGACCATTGCGGCTATCTGGGGAATGAACCAGCAAATAGAAGATCTCTGTCTTTCTCTCTCCCCTCTCTCTGTAACTTTCATGACAGACAGTGAGAAGATGAGACACAGAGGAAGTTTTCCTTCTGTTGGTTCCCTCTCCAAATGGCCGCAACAGCTGGAGCTGCACCAATCCAAAGCCAGGAGCAGATGTTTCTTCCCAGTCTCCCACACGGGTGCAGGGGCCCAAGCATTTTGGCCATCTTCCACTGTTTTCCCAGGCCATAGCAGAGAGCTGGATTGGAAGAGGAGCAGCTGGGACTGGAACCGGCGCCCATATGGGATGCCGGTGCCAAAGGTTTAACCTGTACCACCATGCCGGCCCAAATAAATAAAATCTTTAAAAATGTTTTATTAGTCTGTAAACTGGATGTTTTGTTGGCTTACCATAAAGAAATTGAAATATGTAAATGAAAGTGTTTTTATGCAAATGTAAATTTTTTTTAAAGATTTATTTATTTGAAAGTCAGAGTTACACAGAGAGGAGAGGCGGTGGGGAGGGGGTCTTCCATCCAATGGTTCACTCCCCAAATGGCCGCAACAGCTGGAGCTGCACTGATCCGAAGCCAGGAGACAGGAGCTTCTTCTGGGTCTCTCACGCGGGTACAGGGGCCCAGGGACTTGGGCTATCTTATACTGGTTTCCCAGGCCATAGCAGACAGCTGGATTGGAAGTGGAGCAGCTGGGTCTCGAACGGCGCCCACATGGGATGCTGGCACTTCAGGCCAGGGCATTAATCCACTGTGCCATAGTGCTGGCCCCAAGATTTAACTTTTACTTAAAAATAAAAAGTAGTTTAATTTTTATAGAAGAGTTTCAAAAATAATGGAACGAATTCCTGTGTGCCCTTCACCCAGATTCCCAAATGTTATGATTTGTTACATTCTCTTTTTCTAAAGTAGACGTAACAAAGTGTTTTTTTCTGAGATATTTGAGAGTATAGATATAGTCCCTTTATCTCGAGTGTGCAGTCTTAAAAGTAAATCATGCTCTTATATAATATAATTATCTAGTTACCAAATTAGGAAATTAACATTGATGCAGTTCTACTAATTACAGATATGAGTTTGTCCAGTTATACAGATTTTTCTAGTGTTGGTTTTCTCTGTTCTGATTTACTATTGTGAAATTTTGATTAAACCAGTCAAGCTCTCAGGATGTCTTTGTGCTGGTGAGTTTTCGTTTCTTATCTAGTGATTATCAAAGAAAACACGATTAAGAAATAAAATGTTCTAACAGATAATCACCTAATGTAATCTTAGAAATCCTTGGGTGATTACTGAACTTTTAAACTTTTATTAACTTTGATTGCAGGTGTGAGAAGGAACATTCAGTAATGGCATTTAAAGACAACTTCAATTTTCTTTTCATCAGTAATGTGGCCTTAAATTCTCCTAGGGCTAGTGGTATTGATCTACTCATTTGTAGAGGCCATTTTTCATTTGGCATTGTGTCTAAAATAGGAATACTTGGTGTCCATTTATCCTAACTTGAACAATTTTGTTTGAAATGACCTTTCCAAATTGTTTTTGTCAAATTTATAGGAATTCGGCAGTGCAAAGTGCAAAAAGACCTTTTCAAGTTTTCCAATTCCACATAAAAATGATTGTTAGATGGGTTTTGAACTCTGGCAGATAGTCAGCAGTCTTTGAGCATGAGAGAATTTCCCTTTGCAGCACCCCTGATGGACTTTTCTGGAAACCAAATGTATTTTGGGGTACTTCAATCTCTATTTGTTTCAGGGTGAGAAGATCTTCTACCTGATCCGCCCAACAAATGCCAATCTGACTCTGTTTGAGTGCTGGAGCAGCTCCTCTAATCAGAACGAGATGTTCTTCGGGGACCAGGTGGAGAAGTGCTACAAGTGTTCAGTGAAGCAAGGACAGACGCTTTTCATTCCTACAGGTCTTCCTTGGGCCCCGGTGGGAGGGTTTGTGTAGGGATGGAAAGAATAAGGGAGCTTGTGGCACCACAAGTTGACCACTTCCCATAATGCATTAGTCTGTTTATATGGATATCTCTGTCGTATCAGTTGAGGCTCAGAACTGGACCTCAAGAAAACTCGTGTGGTGACCAGTGGGCAGCATGGTTCCTTGGGGAGGCTGCAAGTGAACAGTGAGGGGAGAGTTGTCCACGAGGAAGGTGATGGATTCTTTTCACTGGGTCAATGGTCAACTTGTCAGACAGATAGAAAATAGGATTTCATAGCCTCATGACTAAGTGACTGGAAAGCTGGCATTCTAGGCTATAAATCAATGACCTCAGGCAGGAGTGGGTTTTTTTTTCTCCCTTAAAAATATACATGCCTGTGCTTCACCCCTATAATTATGAATTCTTAAATCCAGGTAGAGTCTGCATATGTGGTTTTTTTAAACCTAGAAGCCTTTTATTTAAGGTATACAAACTTCATGCATTTCATAAATACAAATTTAGGAACATAATACAAATTTAGGAACCATACCCTCCCTCCCAACTAAATATGTGGATTTTTAAAAAGTCTGCACCTCATTGTTTCCATTTGGGAGAACTGATATCTTTAATTTGTTAGGTCTTTCATGAACACAGTATGTCTTTCCGTTTGTTTCGATTTCCCTTGGTTTCTTTTTTTTTTTCTTTAAGATTTATTTTATTTATTGAAAGAGTTACAGAGAGAGGTAGAGACAGAGAGAGAGGTCTTCCATCTGCTGGTTCACTCCCCAGATGGCTGCAATGGCCGGAGCTGCACTGATCTGAAGCCAGGAGCTTCTTCCAGGTCTCCCATGTGGGTGCAGGGGCTCAAAGACTTGGGCCATCTTCTACTGCTATCCCAGGCCATAGCAGAGAACTGGATCGGAAGAGGAGCAAGCCGGTATTATAACCAGCACCCATATGGGATACCAGTGCTTCAGGCCAAGGCGTTAACCCACTGCGCCACAGTGCCGGCCCCTCCCTTTGTTTCATTAATCATAATTAATGTTAAGTTTTCTTGACATGTTTGATATAATTCTCTAGTGAAGTCATATAGACTTGGATATTTCTTTGGTGGGAAATTTTTAATTAAAATTTAATTTTCTTTTTAAAATTTAATAAGTGAATTAATTTACTTGAGCTATAGAAAATGGTGGGAGTGGTTAGGGGTAGGAGAAAACATGCGAGTGCTCCAACTGGGCTGGGAAACCAAGCCAGGTCTTGCACACAGGTGGCAAATATCTAGTTAAGCCATCACTGCTGCCTCCTAGGGTTCCCGTTAGCATGAAGCTAGTTAGGAGATAGAACTGATGATTGAACTCAGTCACTCTGATGTGGGGCACAGGTTTCTAACTGGTATCTTAATCACTAGGCCAAATGCTGCCCTATTCAATTGCCTTAATTTTTATGAGGCCATTCAAATTATCTATTTCACATTGGATGAATTGTGGGAGTCTGTTTTTTTCAAGGAATTGGTATATTTTATAAAATCTGAATTGTCAAATTTATGTGTGTAAAGTATTTATTATCTTTTTAAAAAATTTAAGTATTTAATTGAAAGGTAGAGACAGGGGGGAGACAGAGAAAGAGATCTTATCTGAGGGTTCACTCCCCAAATGCCTACAACAGCAAGAGCCAGTCCAGGCCAAAATTAGCAACCAGGAACTCAATCCAGATCTCTTATATGGATGACAGTGACCCAAGTACTTGAGCCATCACCTGCTGTCTCCCAGTATGTAAATCCCAGGAAGCTGGAAGCCCAGACACTCCAGTATGGGATGTGAGTGTCCTAAGTGGCATCTTAACCATTACACCATTATAATTTTGTTTTCTTCCAGAACACAAGTGGTATCCTGATTCATTCCTCTATTACTTATGTGTGTCTTCTCTCTTATTCATGTTAGTCTTACCTAGAGGTTGGTCAACTTTATTATCTTTTCAAAGAACCACATTATGTTTCATTGTTTTCTCTGTTGTCTGTTTTCAGTTGAATTGATTTCTGCTTTTATCTTTATTGTTCTTCTGCTTGCTGTGGGTTTATTTTGCTCTCCTTTTTCTACTCTTGAGATGGGAGCCTAAATTATGGATTTAAAACTTTCTTTCCTAATGTAAACATGTGCTGTAAATTTCCCTCTTAGTACTGATTTAACTATACCACATAAGTTTTGATATATTGTATTTTCATTTAGTTAAATGTGCTTTTGAAAAAAATTAAGGTATAATCCATATAACATAAAATGTAGTACTTTAAAGGACATAATTAATTTGTTTTTAGTATATTTATAAAGTTATACATGCATCACTGCTATCTAATACCAGAAAATGTTCATCACTTCCGAAAGAAACCCCATATCTCCTCTCCCTCAGTCCCTGGCAACTACTTTTGTACTTCCCCTGTATACAGATTTTGCTCTTCTGAATGTTTCATATAAATGTAATTAATATGTTTTCTTTTGTGTCTGGCTTCCTTTACTCAGCATGTTTTCAAGATTCATCATGTTACAGCATTTATCAGTAATTCATTTTTAAAAGCCTAATAATGCCATTGTGTAGATATGGCATATTTTATTTATCCATGTATCAGTTGATGAATTGTTTTTACTTTTGGCTCTTACAAGTAATGCTGCTATAAACATTCATTTATGTTATTTGTGTAAATATACATAAATTAGGCATCCCAAATCTAAAATCTGAAATGCTCCAAAATCTGAAGCTTTTAAGAAGCAGCCTGACACAGAGGAACATTTCACACCTGACTTTATTTGATAGGTCGCGGTCAAAACTCAGGCAGGATGGGCATTTAAACTTAGTGGTTAAGATGCCTGCATCCCATATTTGAGTGCTTAGATTCAATGCCTGGCTCTATTCTTGACTGTAGCTTCTTGCTAATGCAGACTGTGAGAGGCACTGGTGATGACTCAAATGCTTGGGTTCCTGCTACCCATGTGGGAGACCTGGATTGAGTTCTCAGCTCCCAGCTTTGGCTCTGCATCATGGGTATTTGGACAATTAACCAGCACTTTGGGTGGGAGACAGAGAGAAAGGTCTTCCTTTTGCCGTTAGTTCACCCTCCAATGGCCGCCATGGCCGGCGCACCACGCTGATCCGATGGCAGGAGCCAGGTACTTCTCCTGGTCTCCCATGGGGTGCAGGGCCCAAGGACTTGGGCCATCCTCCACTGTACTCCTGGGCCATAGCAGAGAGCTGGCCTGGAAGAGGGGCAACCGGGACAGAATTCGGTGCCCCGACCGGGACTAGAACCCGGTGTGCCAGCGCCACAAGGCGGAGGATTAGCCTAGTGAGCCGTGGCGCCGGCCTCCCTGCCTTTCAGATAAGTTTAAAATTTTTTTAAAACTGCCAGTATACTAAAAATACTGCATCATATTTTCTTGATGCTAGGGTAGGTGTTTGCAGCAGTTAAGCTGCTACCTAGGATGCCTGAATCCCATATCAGAGTGCCTGGTTTGTGTCCCAGCTCCTCCACTTTAAATTCAGCTTCCTGCTAAGGCACATCCTGAGAGGCAACAGCAGATAGATGAAGTGCTTGTGTCTTTTTCACCCGTGTGGGAGGCCTGGATTGTGTTCTGGGCTTCTGGCTTCAGCCTTTCTGTTGCAGGCATCTGAGAGTAAATCTAGGGATAGAAGATCTCTGTCTCTCTGCCTTTCAAATAAAGTGACAATAAATAAATTTTTCAAAATTACCATAGGCTAAGCATATATATATATATATGAAATACAAATGAATTTTTTATTTAGAATTGGGTTCCATCCCCAAGATATCTCATTTTGTATATATAAATCTTCCAAAATCCATAATCTAGGACTTCTGGTCTTAAGCATTTTTGATAGGGATACTCAACTTATATTTTCAATTTTCCTGCATGTAGACCTAGGAAGGAATTTAACTGTGTTTAAACTTTCAAAGAAATGCCAGACTGTTTTCCAAGGCAGCTGCATGTGCTATTTTATATTCTTGACAGCAGGAATGAGGGTTCCAATTTCTTCATATCCTCCCCAACATTTGTTATTGTCTGTCTGTATGATTACAGCCATCCTAGTGAGAGTAAAGTGGTGTACTATTGAGTTTTTGGTTTATATTTTCCTAATAACTATTGGTGTTGAACTTCTTTCCACATGGTGATTGGACATTTATGTATCTTTTCTTTTGGTTGGAGAAAGAAATACTCAGTCAAATTCTTGGCCCATTCATAAATTAGATTCTCTTTTTATTGTTGATTTGTAAGACTACTTTACATGTTTTGTATTCTAGACCTTTATCAGATATATGATTTGAAAATATTTTTTCTTAAGGCTTTTTCACTTTCTTGATAGTATCATACAAGGCACTAATTTATGAATTTTGATGTCCCATTTTTTTTTATTTGCTTATTCTTTTGATGTCTAAGAAACTGGTGCTTAATTCAGAACATAAATATTTACTTTAGTTTTTTTTTAAGGCAGAGTTACAGAGAGAGAGAGGGACAGACAGAGATCTTCCGTCTGCTGATGCACTCCCCAAATGGGTGCAAAAGCTGGAGCTAGCCGGTCTGAAGCCAGGAGCCAGGAGCTTCTTCTGGATCTCCCACATGGGTGCAGGGGTCCAAGCACTCAGGCTATCTTCTGCCGCTTTCCCAGGTGCATTGTCAGGAAGTTGGATGGGAAGCTGAGCAGCTGTGACTCACACTGATGCCCACATGGGATGTCAGTGCTGTAGGCAGCAGGTTTACCCACTATACACAACACCAGCCCCCTTTATTTAGGTTTAAAGATTTGTTTATTTGAAAGGCAAAATGATGTATGAGAGAGAGAGCAAGAGCTATCAATCTTCCATCTACTGGGTTATTCCACAAATGTCTGCAACAACCTGGTCTAGGCCAGGCCAAAGCTAGGAACCAGGAACCAGAAACTCCATCCGGATCTCCAACATGAGTGACAGCTACCCAAGCACTTGGGCCATC